TAGTTGAAATGTCAAAATAGCATCAGAAAAATATTTCCATTATTTTAAACACAGCCAAAAGAACAAAGCACATTTACTATCACAGTAACCTGTTTTTCATTGTTTTCCAGCACAACTATACCCTTTAAAATATTTGACCCAGGACCTAACAGAAAAATGAAATAATCTAGTTCCAAATCACAATGCAGTCTCTCCTGCAAAGAGTCACCTTATTCTGTGGAGATGGATGTGATAACATTCAAGGCTAATTTCAAATTCATCACTATGCAGGCAACACCACCTCTGCTGTTACCGTCCTTCTCTACAATAGCCCACATTAAGCTGCATGCATGGCTTTTACTTCTCAGGTATGGCACTAAGATTCTGCCACAGATTCCCTTGTGCTGCACAAAGCACAGCCTTTCTAAAAATCAGTCTCCAGACTGCTCGTGTTTCTCCACTGACTTTCAAACAGGAGTAGTAACAACCCATCAAAAAATGAAATCTTGCAGCACAGATGCAAGACACCCTGTACCAAGCCTCACAGAATGCAGTAGTTCTGTAGCTGGTCTTGCATCTTTTTATGACAGAAACACAAACACTTTGGGAAGACACAGGTATGACTCTTAGGATCTACAGGTACCACAACATCCTTCAAGGATGAGGATGCAGATGGGGAACATCTCTAAAAAATGGAATGAAAAGCAAGTCAACATATGTGACTGCAGCTGTACAGCAATAATACTGGGAGTGAGGGAGGTGGGATTGCCTTGGTGTCTAGACATGCAGAGCCAGAATTGAGCCTCCAGCTTCCACACAAAGGTGAGCGCTCCCTGGACACCTGCAACAGTTTTGTCAGCTCTCTGAATCTTTGCAAAGTGCTGAGAAGTAGGTGGCCATTACAGTCTGGAAACTATGCACACCTAGGGCCTATCAACCACGGCAAAGCAATTTAGTTTTGCCATGGTGGTGACTGAGATGACAGCACTTCCCTTGGATTTAATTGCAAAGTGGTTTCCTAGATTCCCAGAGACCAGTACTGCTACTAATGACATGCATATGGATTTCTTCTTCAAAATGAGGAGATGTGTAACTACTCCATGATCCTCTTTGCCCTGTCAGCCTTGTGCAGGCCAACTAATTCCCACTCAGAGGAGGGCATTCGCAGCGGGGCAAATAATTCTGTGCTTTATTGCTTGAGCTCTATAAACTCTGCCTTTAAATCAGGCCACTGTTTTGCTTAATTCTTTGCACTTTATGTGCATTCCTATGCTCCATTACATGTGCTTTGCTTCCAATGAACTTTTATATGTGGGTTAAAAGATTTTCACTCTTGATTACTGTGACTCAGTTTGGTTCCAGAAGCATTTCCTGAGCTTTTTGTTGCCTCTCCCTTTTCTAGTTACTTCAGAGTAATGGAGCATCTCTTCACGGATTATGCACACCACTTCCTGCATTCACCCAAGAGTTAGTGGAACTGCCACAGTTTCCCTCTTCCATATAAATTGGGTTTTAAAACACAGTTAAAGGGGTCAACAGGCAAAGGACTCTACTGAATGTGCAACACGAAAAAGATAACAAAGGCTGTCTGGACTGCAAACAAGAAGAGATTCTTTGAAGCCAGGATACTCCAGCCAAGATTTAATAAAACAACAAAGAGAAAGAGAAAAACTAACTGAACCAAGAACAAAGGGCAGCATCACAAACTAACCGCTTTGACCTCCAAAAGCACTGAAGAACAAAGAAAATGAAAACATAAGGCTGCTCAAAACAAACAGGAGCAAAGTGCAAGGCTGTACACAAAGCTGTACACAAAGTGCAAGGCACATTCGGGCCAATCTCAAACATGTGTGGGAAAGTGCAGGCTGTGTTTATTATGGTATCTCCTGCATGCATTTTTATCCTTTTCCCATCTTTTGATGCATGTGGGGCAGTACAGAGTAGGTCAGGCTGACTTTTCCCTTCCTGAGTTAACAGGGAGCCTCCTGCAGGGCATGGAAAGGACAGGCAGCCCAGCATGCTCCTGGTGACCGACCTCAAGCTGGAGAGAACACAAAGATGGAGGATCACCCTAGTCCTGCACTCAGTGGCAATACACATGCCAAAGATCATCCAGGCTCTGGTGTCTCCAAGTGCTGGCATCCATGCCACTGCAAGCAGCTGCTCAGAACCTCAGCGGGGAAGGTGTTTAGACCACGGCACCCCACAAGTCTCCAGTAGTTATTTTTTCAGTCATTTCCTTTGCCAGTCTATAACAGTGGAAGATTAAACAGCCAGGCTGAGGGAAAAAAAACCCAAGCTTGAAGCATTAGCAAACTCTTTGTGGCTGGAACCCAGTGTGGACTGCTTGACTGTTTCCTTATCAGTATTGAGCCCTGGTAGCATGGGCATTCTGGTCAAAACCCAGAATCCTCCAGCCTGGTAAACAGCACTGTGACAGGTAGAGCTCCTCATGCTGAGGCTGAAATAATTTTCCTATGAACATCTGAGGATAAAAAGCAGGGTGTCAGCATCTGCTGTTTTGGATGTAATTGGTCTAACTTGACTGGATAAAAGAAAAGAAAATTAGGGGATAAGGGGAAAAAATAGTAGCTTCAGTAAACAGCAGGCCTAGTAGTGTGCCATAGCTTCCATGTAGCAGGGATAGAAGAGAGGGGAGTCAAGATAAACAAAGTGGGGACGTCTGCTGGCCTCCTTGTTGCTCACAGGTTGTGCAGCACATGGTATTGGATAAAGTCCCATGCACAGAGCAGGGGGAAGGTCCTCGTACCCTGAGAGGCAAGAGACCCGAGCAGGCAGGGAAACACACTCAGTCTCACCCTCAGGACTTCAGCTGAGCTGGGTATGTTTATACTGGGGTAGACAATGCACACAAGGAGGAGATGTTAAGTGACAGGCTTAAGGACAACCTCCACCATTAACATTATGTGTACCTGAGACTAACCTCTCTGGGGTAGTAGATGCATCTGTCAGAACAAGCCACTATGTAAATGAACGCACAAGGGGAGCAAGCAGATATCTAAATGGTCACAAGAGCTGGATCAAATACAAGAGGGAGGGCAGGTTTGTGGCTTGATCTGATGGTGGAAGAATAAATGGGTCTAATTCACACACACTTGCTGAGATCCCTTTGCAGCATGAATTCTGAGTGAGTTTTGTCTGTGGGATTTCAATTGCCAGAGAATCTGTCCTGGTTGTGACACTCCAGGTGGAGCTGTCAGCAGTGACAGGTAAAAGAAAACTCATCTTTTAGTGTCTGAACTTGAGCCAGTTCAATTGGGAAGTGATTGAGGGTGAATAAATACACGGTGGCATTACAGTATTTTCACAACCTCCTTTCTGAGTATAATTTCACTATTAGGAAGTCTGTTGGCACCTACTGGAGGAATAAGCACGCAGGGGGGCATATCTCCTTTCTCCTCCTGCTTTGTGCTGAAAAGTGGAATTAAATTATTCTGTGCATCGACAGATTGTTCCAGTAAAATAGAATTTGAAGCCACCAGGGACCCACTGGGAAGAGAAGCTTTTACACTATATGAAAAGGCAAGAAACAAAACCCTTGCCAAAACTCCTTCACTCTTTATTACCGACAGCTGCAACGCTGGATGCGTCCGGATGCCTTTTAAGAGCCAAGGGGAGTGACGGAGGTGGGATGGCATGTGAGCAGATGAAATACATGGCAGCTTCTCCCCTGACGGCAAGTTTAATTATTTGCAGTGTTGTATACACAAGAAAAAAATACACAGATAGTGGGAAATCATTCACTGTGATTCCTGTGTCAGGTGCATTATGAAAAACACTTGCTCTTGCTGGTCCGTGGCAGAGCAAGGTCTTAAAATATTCAGAACCTGCATACGCTTTTGTCACAGATGGGAGGAATAACAAGGTAGAATATATTTCAAAGAAGGAGAATGTGAATATATCAAGAGAGCAAAAACAGAGGCGCTTTGCTGTATGAACTGAGATATCCAACGGAAGTGAACCAAACCAAACTTTAAGACAAAGAAACAGCTTCTTCTGTGTATTCCAGAGGACTTTCTAATGCATCCCCTCTTGTCCTTTGTGTATTTTAAGACCATTGGAATGGGGAAAATCTAATTCTTTTGTCTGTTCAGTGCTCAACCAACAAACAACAAACTGTGCTTTGTTAGGATTAATTTTCTCAAATCCCTCTGCTTCAGGATCCAGGAGCTTATGTGACATTTCAGGGTGACTATGCAAGATGTGAAATGCTCCAAGTCACTAGCCATGGGTCATAACTCATAAATAAATCCTATCAGTGATAATATAATCTGTGAAGCTACAGGCAGAGTAAAAGGATGCAGACAGGTCATCTTTCTGTAAACTGCAGTTTAGGGGTTAAGTACAACTGACTCAGAAATTACAACCATGTGCAAGGTTGCCTGGTAAGCCTTGATATACTTGCTTAAGTTGATGTCTTATGACTGTCAATAGCTTTTCTGCTTGAATACGACCAGAATGGTTACATTCTACATGAATTTATCTCTGCTGCTGCTAACTTCAGCACTCCTTATGAACAAAGTCTACACGAGGATCAGTAGCTTTGAAGTGCAGAAGGATGAAGACCTGCCAGCTCAAATCCCAGCTGACCTAGAGAAAGCATGCACTGCATTTTCTGGATGGCTCAGGGGCAGCCCTGAAGCCTATTCTTTCTTGGATCTTGCAAATATAATGCTTGTTCATGCACTTCTTCCTCTCTGTGTTTATGTAATGCTGTCTGCCGTACTCTTACAGCCTATACACCCAATTATGAAGATTGCAATACATCATGTGAGTCCATACAATGAGGACAGCACGTAATAAGAGCACATTTTGTGCCATTCAAGCAGATAACCATATCTTTCTCCTGCACAGAGGGCATAAATAAGTATATTGTATAGAAAAGCCATCAGAGAAAGTGGCTGCTGTGCTACTGACCTAGTACCTATATTTGAAAACCTGAGTCAAACACACAAAAAAGTTCTGTAAATTGCAAAAGAAAAGAAAACATTATGACTTACCTCACAGGGGGAGTTCCTCAAAGGAGCTGGAAATGCAGTGCTGGTCATGACAGTCTTTGCTACTGCTGGTGCTTTGCTGGTGTTAAGGAGGAGTGCACAACCTGATAAAAGAGAAGTAAGAAGGTCAAACTGCAGCACTCACCTTCTGAGGTTTCAGGGTTTGTGAAATCTCCCCAAAACCTATGTTAGCTGGCTCCTACTACAACAGAATGCCAGGGAGTAGAAGGCTTTTTCAATTTCTTAGGGATGCAGCTTCACCTACCTGAAAACCATATTCAGGAACCACATTTAAGGAGTACGTCTACCTTTCCCCTACAGCTCTCTTCTGTTGCTCCCTGCCTTCAGATTCATTCTCCTTGCAAGGGTGAATAATAGAGTATATCTTCTATGAACAAAAAGTAACTTAGAAGAGAAGTATTTATCTTGACCAAACCCAAACAACAATACAGCTATGGCAAAATACCATCAGACTAAGATTAATGCAGCTGGACACCTCTTTGCTACTTTAATAATTTGCTGTAAACAAGGGGAACAAGGCCAGTAGCAACACTAGGGTTTTCCATTGGCAGCTTTGCATGAAAGAGTGTGGTTTTGCCCTATTTCAGCTCTGCCCTCTAGCTCAGGATGGTAGCATTACTCAGAGTCCAGTTATTTGGTCTTTCATTCTGCAGCACAGAAATATCACAGAAGCAACAGCATTTGCCAGCTCCCCATCAGTACCATCATTCTGGCTCTTGGCCTTGTTTACCTGTGTTTCCGTCACTCTGTGGTCTATTATTACCAAGGGCTAAACCATCACATGCCATAAATCAGAAGAGCTGCACAGTTCACACAAAAGTAGAGAATCTTACTCTTCATGTTTAACTCTGGATATACCTTTTCAAAATGATGTTGGGATTATATATCATTAATTTCCTGTTATTATTGTATCCCTTTAGATGGTCAGTACCTCAGCAATAAATGTCTGTAATGATTTACATTATTGCATTAGAAAAAAACTTATCCTGGCAGGTAGTGTGTTTGCCAAAACTCAGCCAGCAGTAGTTCAGTGCCCAAAGTATAAACCTTCAGTGGTTTGCATGAGAAGGATTAGAAATGACTGGCATTTAGGTAGGAGAATTAATTATCCATAAAAAGTGCAACTCAGGGGATCATGAAGCAAAGAGAAGAAAAATTTGGATGTGAGCAGGGGAAAATAGCAGCAGTAGAGAGAAATGGAGAAAGTAAAAAGGAAAATCAGAAAGGAAAAAACAGATCAGTATGGAGAAGGGTCATGCAGATGAACATTTAGTATGAAGTTATTTAGAAAGGGGCAAGATCTTTATCTGGTGTCAGGGGTGGAAACTGAGGTACTACTCTATACCTTCAAGACAAAAAGGGAGCTGGATAGTCTTTTGCTCAAAGCACTCAGACTAGAAAGACGGGGTTTGTTTTTGTTTCACTGGAGGCCGAATATATAAGTGCACAGGAAAATCTGCCTTGTGTTTTATTCCCTCTCCTCACCATTTGTGCATCTTTTTTCTCTCTGCTCTTTATGTTCTACACTTACTATTTACTATCGCATACCTTCTGTCGAAGGAAAACGGTTGTGTTCCGGGCTTCCAATCCGCCATGGAGAAGGATGGGATGCAGAGGAGCCTGGCATCCAGCCACAGTCCCCTTCTTCAAATGAACAGTAAAAGCCAGAGGGAAGCTTTCCTGCAAGAGGGAAAGAGACACATACAGAAGAACCCAGGTGAGCTGAGGAGGAGTCTCCTGGGCACGAAGAGAAGCTGCAGTGACTTTCTGGCCTGGTTTGCCCAGGGAATGTGGGCACCCCCCAGCTATCCAGTCCTGCTGTGTGGAGTCACGCATATGCCTGACCATGAGGAGGGTGGTGCAGTGGGAAACAACCCCCAGGCTGTGACTGACTCTCCCCACACTCTGAATAACCCGAGTGAGAGGACACATCTCAGTATTACACTATGGGGTCTCCTACATATCTGGCCTCTCAGCTCCGCAGGTATAAGCCCACTCAAGGTTACATCTTGGAGATGACTTCCCTGCTTCTGCAGCCCCACAGCGGGAAATCGTGCAGAGGGATAAATTCCTAAAAAGATTCCCTCCCTTACAGTCTAGATTTCTACTCATCCCAGCTCAGCAACATGATCTCTCCTCTCTGTGAGCACTGATGTGGCCTCAGGTAAAGCACTGAATCCTTTTGTGTCTCAGTTTTTTCACCTGTGAAACTCTTTTGTCAGATGAATGGGTGAAAAGAGGATAGTTTATTTTAAGCCATACTTTCAGGCTTCGAAGCCCACTCATTCTGTCATTGGCTTCAGGTTCCCAGCTCCAAACAACAGAGCTCCACTAGGTTTTTGCCTTGATATTAACCAGTTTTAAAGCAATAGTAATCTCATTCAAAGCAGAAGGTATGTTTCTCTACCTCCACTTGCAGGTTCTTCTTACAAAGGGTGCACATATTGCTCCTTTTGCCCCAAGAAAAGAAAATGATACAAGGAATTTGTTTAAAACTGCAAGAAAAAAAATGAAATTTCATGTGCAGATACATACCCAGGACATTTGCTTTTCCTTTCCTTTTTTTCCTGTTTTTTTCTGCTTGATAAAATCAGAGTAAAAATGTATTCACCTACAAGATGGAGTATAGACTACAAACTCCTAATCTAAGAGAATCTGCTAGTCAGGGGATACTGGTAACTTCATTAGCCCCTCTGTGAGAAGTGGAGTCTCCTGAACACATATTTTGTTATGATTATTAAATTTTTTTTCCCCCTGAAATTTTATATCTATAAAGTGGCTGTCAGACACTGAGGCACCAGTATTCAAGCTCCGGATTGTTCAAAATGTTTAAGTATCAGCAGATCCCTGCGGTTGAGATTTCAGGTCAATTAAATACCTGCTCTCAGGGCCTCAGCTTTGACTCACACACCTCAAAAGCCACTGCCAGTGGCACATGTATGTGCTCCTTGGTGTACCCAGAGAAAACAACAGGGGAACACCACAGCTGTAGCATCTAGACCAGAAATATTTGTTTTTCTAGGAGCCTGAAAAACAATTCACTTGGCAGAGAGGAAACTGAAAAAAATCCTCTATCTGTAGCTTTTTAGGAGGGTCGATTTTGAACCTGGAACCCGACGCTGAGGCAAGAGCCATATTTTAGTGTTATTATCTGCAAGCATTAAAATATGTTATGAAAAGTTTTAGAACCTGCACTGAAGTTCAGGCTTTTTCAACTTTTCCCTTCTAAAAATCTCCAGATTCATTCAGTCTTGTCTTTAAATGTAAAGCTCTTAAGCAGAGAGTTACTTCCTAGTGTTTTACCCCTCTATAGAACTTCATTATATTTCACTGTGCAGCCTGAGGCTGGGATACAGAGAAGATGACAAATTATAATGTGCCCTGAATTCCTACTGAAACAGCTTGGCTCAGTGTCCAACTGAATTCATGTCATGGCCATTTGCTATCTAGGATGATGTAAACAAGTCAGAGCAGCAGGAGGAGTCATCTGAGTAGCAATCCCTGCCTGGAGGCCAGGAAAAGCTCGCTGCCGATGAACAAGTAAGGGGATAAATAAGAAGCTATTACTTTCACAGAATATTTCACTCCCCTTCCACAAATTCATTTTTTATGAGTTTTCAGATGTCCTGTGCCCTGGATGAATTTTCTCTGCTGCTCTTTCTTACTTTGAATGTACAGACAGCACCTATGATTCCATGTGTTGCTACTCCACAGACCTCTTTGGTTAGTACTTCTCTGTTGATCTGTACTTCTCAATTTTAGGAATGTTTGTGATTGAAGCTCACATTAGCACAGACACTGCACTGATGAGGGGAAGCTAATCTGACTTTATTGGAAATTAAGTAAAGGAGGCAGCAGGAGTTACTCCTATTGAAACTTGCCATATTGGATATCATCATTAGTGACAGAAAGCTCAGATTTAGACCTTAGTAAGATTAAAATGCAGCTTGTAGGTATGGGATGGAGAACAGAGCAGCCCAGTGAAATTGAGAATATAAGAGTCTCTCCTTTTGTTTGAGTGATGAAGCAGAGAAAAGCTGTCAAGTGTTAAACTTGTTCCTAACCAAATATTTTCAAGTCCTCAGAATGAAATACTTTTCAAGTGAAATCTAATTCAGTTCAAGTTCTTTTTGTTTAACTCAGATTTTTCATCCATTAATAGCAAGAAAAATTAGCAACTGGAATAACTTATTAAGCAGATGGAGCAGGTTCCTGATTCAAAACTAGATGTAAATCAACCAGATACTACAGTTTAAACTTTAGGTGAAATTCCAGACTGATGTGATAAAGAGGAAAAGCATAAAAGGGTACTCTGTACATATGGACCTTTACTAAGGAGGAAATATCAGAAGCCAAATAGATCAGCTACTCAAACAATTTAAAGAACCACATGAATCTTTGTTTCAGTGATTGCTTCTATGCTAGCAAAGCTGGCCAGCCAAATTCTACCAAAAATGAAGCATAAAAAATCGAAATATTTTTCAACAGTTGACAAAGAGTTATCCTTAAATGCCAGATGGCTTTGCTGAATTCAGAACTTCCCGAGGTAATAATTTGTTGCTATAAGTAAAGCTTTTGATCAAGAAAGAAGCAGAAGGATCAGTGTATGCAAGACAGGAACTTTAAGAGAGCGTAGCATGGCAGCAGGTTGACACTTCATCATTTTGCTTTCAAGGACACTTTGCTGGGCTGTATCTGGATGTAAATGAATCCAGTGGTTTCTTTGTGCATTTTTACCTGGAAAGTAAACTGGCCTGTGTAGAATTGATTATCTATGCTTTTTTTTGGTCACTTGTCCATGTTATCACAAATTCAAGCTTTATAGGTTCCTATTGTAGCTGCCATCTGTTTTTTTGGCAGATGTGTGCATGTACTCCTCCAACCACATAGCACAGCCTGAGTCACTCCTTTCAGGAGTCAGACACCAGTCTTCCTTATCTCACCTGGTATGGTGTTTAACATCCTTAAATACTTAATGAGGCAAAGAGTGAAAATTATCCTATAACCCAGTGATTATGAGATTTATTTGAAAGATGGAGGACATTACTTCCACTCTCTATTCTATGTAAAATTTGTAAAAGAGCAATCCCAGGAGAGACTTGAGTAACCATTTTCTTCTGAACTAGACCAGAACTCCAGACCACAATCTTGGAAACTCTCACAGAAATAGGAACTATGGATTTAAATTCACTTAAGCAGAAGAAAGAATCAGTCCTGGGTTAGTTGTATCCTGAGTCAATCCTCTAAGTTCTGGGTCTCTAGATAATAAATATACTACTATGGGCACATCCATTCTTTTAAATTTCATTGTATTTTTTAAATATATCCAATACTTCCCTAACATGCTCAGACTGATTAACCAATATTTTCCCAAGATGAAATTTTTCCATGAATTTGTGACAGAAAGTAAAACAATTTTGGACTAGTCAAAATTATATGCATCTTTTTTTTCCAGTAAAATTTTAATTTTTGCCCAGACTTGCTGCGCTGCAACAAAAGATTATTTAACCAAAAAGAGAAGTATAAAACTACTAAAACAAATTCACACTTTCTGTAACGTTCTGCCAATCTGTATTAGTAAATAACTTGGGTTTTCATCTCTGTCTTGTACCATACCAGGTATATAACGTCATTACTACAATAAGAGGAAGTAGGGTTTTTGGGGGTTTTTTTGCAGTAAGCCATATCCATATGTTGAGTGATTTGGTATACTACTTATATAGAACTTCTTGTTTAGCATTAATAGCACACTACATTTGCTGAAGTGTTAGGCACAAGCTGTGAACTTTCACTGGGTATGCTGACCTTTCCACCTAGTCAAGTAAGAGAAGACCCCAGAGCCAGTTCAAGACAGAAGATAAGGAAGCTGTGTTCATTAGAGAAGCTGCAACATTAGAAATAAGAAACATCCCACCCTGAGGCAGTGAAGAGACACAGTGAAGAATGGGAAGACCTCCCCAGTCCTCATATGGGGAACTACTGGTCCAAACAGTCACATGAGAGGTGAGAAATTCAGATTGTAAGGGTATAATTTCTTTGTTCAGTGTTCTCCTTTGGAGACACCTAACTCAAGTTATTGCACTATTAAAAAAAAGTACTTTTATGGAAGAATCTATCAGCTTATCAATTCAGAGGAAACGTAGAGTCGAAGTCTGTTATGGTGCATGTGTAATTGCTGTAACACATAAAAGCATGATTTTACCAGCAAAGACATAAGACTACTGCTATCTGAAGACTTAATGTGTGTCTGCAAAGTATGCTTTACAAAGTAATTTCTAGTGTGGCACTTCCATCAGTCTGTTAACCCTGGACATCTGATCCCAAGTCAACACACACACACAGTTTGGCATCTAATTCCACAACTCCTTCTTTGAAGCTGCCTTTTACTCCTGCAAGAATGTCTGATTATGACTCAAACAGCAACATGCTTTTCTCTAGGGTTCATCCCTCTCTGATTTTACACTCTCTACACAGACTAATTGGTTGCAATGCAGAACAAGCACCATGACATTTCATTGGCCATTAATAAGTAAAGAGATGTTAACAAACAGCAGGCTTTAGGGAGATTTTTTTATTCAGCTAAGAAAGGAACAAAAATCAAATGAATAGGAAAAAAAACCCTAAATAATAATAAAATCAATCAGTACCTGCACAGCTAAAAGACTGTGAAAGGCAAAAAACCCCAAACATCTCCTGAAGCTCAAAGAAAGAAGCCCTTGGTTAATGGTAATTTTAAAAGCTCTCCCCTCAGTTTTGAGCATAACTACATCTTTTTCTGACAGCTCTTTTGTGTAAGCAGAACCACTTGGGAAACCCCTTTCTCTGCTTGAAAAATCTGAATCACTTTTTACCACACTTGTAAAAAGCTGATGAAAACATCTGTGTTGCTCAGGAGCAAAATGACAACTAAAATGTTGAAAGATGGCATATGTTTTGTGTTAGGCTGCCATGCAGATATAACTGACAACTAAAATATTAAATCACTTCTCTGTTTTGTGTAAGAAGCCTTATGCCAACAATATTCAATATAGTAAAGAGGCAAAAGCAGAGAAAGCAGTCATAGAACTGAGCACGCTTGTAAGTGAATGAACAGACATATCCCCAACTCAGGCACTTGCTCAGGCAAGCCACTCTTTTTTGTTGTCTGAATGGAAGATGGTGGTTTTAGGACCTTTTGGTTGGGAGTAGAAACTCACATTTCCAATAACTGTGGCTGAATACAAGACATGGGGTCTTCTCCTCAAGCCAGGGAGTGATGTTCTGCTAAACAGTCGGTTAAATATCTTCCGCTTTTTACATTTTCTCATTGACATTCTCTGTACATTCTTTTGCCGACACAACTGTAAGTGCTGTAGTGCTTCATGGGAATGAAGCACTAGATGGGTGAAGCCATAGATGAATACTGCATGGAGGCAAGAAAGGCAATGAAAGCAAACCCTGTGGATAAGACATGCCAGGCAAGGGTTGGCCGCTTTACCGATTGGACTCATCATGGGGTACAGGGCTAAGGGGCAAAAGCAGAGCCAGCCTCCTGATACCTGAATGTGGCCTGAATATGGGCAACACACCAGCCACAGGTGCAGCCAGTGTTTCAAAGTAACAGGGAAGCGTGTTCCTCCAGGCCTGCCCCATCCCCTGGTGGTATTCAGTTTACACTCCTGATTGGCACAACTCCACCTTGTGAGCTCTGCTCCCACTGGTATAGACAGGATTACCTTCACAAGGCTGAACCATTTACTGCACACAGACACAACAGTGTATCTGAACATACGGTTGATGATAATGTTCCCCTATTTCCAATTAAATGAAAATGCATTCAACCTACTGGTTATAATAAGCTGCTAACTTTTTTTTTAAATTATCGAGTGGAACACAATAGAAATACCATTATGAGGTTTTAGAGCTCTGTTTTAAAGCTTTTAGGTGAAAATAAGGTTTCAAGATCACTAATATGAAGCATTATTGGTTCTAAGGAGCTGCAAGCCCACAGTGCTGACACTGTTCCTGTGAATTTAATGTTCACTGAGTGTGTCATTAATGAACATAATTTCAAATTGTAACAATGCCTAATATGATGGAGAAGCATATAATGTCAAGCTTTTAACTAGTTTACTAGATGATCCTAGGTCAGAAAAATGTTCTCCACACCAATAAAGTCTGTTACTTTATTTCTTTATTAGCAGCAGAGGAGTGAAATCTGCTGGAAGTTGTGTGTCACTCTTACCTTAAGTTTTTGCTAGGAATAGCAAAGGTGTGTTAGTCTAGACAATCACCTATATCAACTCAGATTGTTTGAATTACCTTACACAGAGTCTCCCCTGTTCTAGTTGCCACGTATGAAAGCTAAACTGAGAACATCTGTCTCTTCTATTCCAAAGGCTTTTGCTGGTACCGGTATTTTCATCAGGGAACACATTTTTTTTGCATACCAAATCAATGGAGTGCTATTGTCAACAGCCCATAGGCTAGATCAGCTGTGACACATACACTTTAAATGATGAACTCCCAACATTTATTTTTCTTGAGTGCCCTGTAGACAACCATACAACTGACAATCCACCACTCCTATTTGTAGAGTGGCAAAGGGGAAGATGCTGGAGAGGTAGAATTTATAGAAAAAGAGATAAGGCATCTTCAGGATAGTTAAAGGAAGGTCCTAAAGTTCCACAGCACATTTTAGAAAGTACTCAGGCACAGCAAGTTTTCAGAAAACTCAGGCTGCTATCTATCTTCTGCTGTATTTTATTAGACCACTGGCTGTTGAAGAGAAGGCAGAAAACCAGAGGAATACAAAGACACAGGAGTTGGTCAAAGACAAGCTACTGGCTCTACTCATTTTTCATCTTAGAAGTTTTCTCCTTCCTCTCCCTTCTGCCACATGCTCTGCTACATTTTGATTAAAGGCTCTAACCAACGACACATTTCATAATTCTGTAAGGCATCTAGCTATTCAGGCTATACTTCCTTTGCATTTTTGATCAGGACCTTGGAAGAGACGAAGCACCGAGAGCATGTTAAGAACCTGCTGCAGAACTAATGTAGGCAAGTACAGAAACATATCAAATGGTCCACTCCAGGCAGATATCCAGAGAAACTGCATGTGTTATGGAGGAAACGGGTCTTTTGATAGTACCAAATGAATCTGTTAGTGCTAAAGTCTCAGGCATTAAAATTCAATGCAATCAATGCTTTTGGAAAAGGATGATAGAACCTGGGTGTTTGGATTTACTCACTGCATGTATCTCCCTCATCTTCTCCCTCGGCGCAGTCCCTGTTGAAGTCACACACCTGCCCCAGCCTGATCTCTGTTCCATTCCAGCAGCTGAAGGAGCCCTCCAGAGCCATTTTTGAGAGAGAAGATGATCCTAGAGAAAAACAAACAAAGAAAAAAAATAAACCCACAACTACTTCAGATTATCAAATTGCCTCCCTCTCAACCAACAGGTCATAGGATCCTGCATAGCACTGAAGGGAAGAACACCTTGTAAAATCCCCCCAATACAATAATTACTTGACAATTATTTTGTTTGACCTGTTTAATCTTGTCAATTGTCTAATGGTCCACCTAACAGAGCATTTCAGTTCCCCAGGCCTTTCTGATGCTATAACATGGAAGACATCTCTGACCTCTAAAGGGTTGAAATCCTGCAGCCTGCTCTGTGGTACTTCTCAAGAACAACAAAACACATGATAGGTTTTTAATTATGTGTGTGTTGTCAACTGCTACACTGGCAGTCCTGGAGACTGATATCCTCTCTGCCTATCTCAGGAATAATATGGCTACAGGGTTTGAAAAGAACACAAGCTTTCATCGTGCTCTCCCGGCAACATGCATTACCTTTCCTTCGGATATATCATGTTGTCATAGTCTCTCTGCAGGAAAGAAAACAGTCTGATCTCTACTCGTAGTTTTATTTCTCTTCTATACCTACTCCTGCATCCTGCATTCCCTGTGTGTCAGGGAGCCACAAAAGACTACATCTACCGAGATACAAAAATCACCAGTTCATCTTACCTGTGCTAAGCAGCAAAAGGTAGCCAGCAATGTGCAAAGGAGCCATCTCTCATGAAATGAGGTCACTGACCACTACAATCAGAGGTCAGTATCATCCATTCAGAAATGATCCTGAGTAATTGTCCTGTAACACCATTCTTTTGTGGAGGCACTTGATTCCCTTGACAACTGAGAAGTCAGAGATCATGTAGCCCAACAGGTGTCATCTTCCTTACCATAGGAATTTTCTCATCCCAAGTTCTTTGTGGTCAAATGAGATACTTAGGACAAGGTCTTTTTTTTTTCAATTTAAATTTTTTTTAAGAGACACATGGTCTAGATTAGACACCTGAAGGAGACAGGAATTAGTTCAGCAACATCCTGCAGCCAGAATGCATGGAGGAGGCTAAGCTTGAGAAATGCCAGAGTTCCTTCCACAAAAATCTGGCGTAGATGCAATTTCCTGACGCCTTCCTGACTCTGCAAAGATGTGTTTCCAGTCACTACTAGAGGGTAAGCCCAGAAATACAAAGAGATCTGTGCTGTCAATTCCCCATTGCAGCAACAACTGCCCTGTCTCATCTCAAATGGGTAAATGCACAAGATTAAACCAAAGCCTCTGGGCAAAGTGAGCCATTGTTTGCCTAACTCATCCATGCTCACTAAACAGTGAAACTACATCATGTTCTCTGGTACTACAGGGAGTTGGGAATCACTGGCGATTCAATTAGATGTGCACTTGATACTTTTATTTATTATTGCCTGCCAAAACTAGAAATTAATGAAGCATGAACGAAAACAACCACTATTTCTCTTCAAGCTTATTTTATGGCACAAATCAATTCAGGAGTGGGGGGAATACATGCCAAACCTTTTTAATAAAGGACCACAGCTCCTGAAAAGGGTGCTCTGTGTTATTGTCAGCTCAATTTTTTTGCCTGCCTTTGAGCAATTCTGGCTTGCCACATACTGGCTGCACAATGCCCTTGTATTTCAGTCAGGGTCAAGGCATGACTACAGAGGAGAGCTTTGCAGAACAAATAGACCAAGCAACTTGGAGCTAGCTACTGGCAATTTCTGTGGGCTCCTTGGTGAGGGTTTAAGGCAATGAGATGGTATCTTCCTTGGTTTTGCTGTGCTTCTTACAAAAATGCTCTCTCAGAGACAGGTCTGAGAGCCTCCCCTATGTGAGCTACAAAGCTCTTCACATGCCACAAGTCCCACAGAGGGCTCAGGTCAGTGTGCAAATGGACGCCAGAAACCCGTAAGAAGTGACTCTGGTAACTCAGTAGGTGACCCCTTCTCCTAGGGGTGTGCAATGAACCTGTACAGCACTGTGTTGTTGGAAGCACCACCTAAAGAAAAGTTAAGAGACATCCCAGAGCACTTCCATGAGGTTAGCAACATCATGATGCTCCTAAAAATCTGTTAAGTTCTACTCAAATTCAGAAGTACTCCTGTCTCTCTGAATTATCCCACAGATGGTTTTGAATCTGATGTTTATTACCAGCTCTCTTGTCCCACTCAGTTTATCTGCAGTCTTTTCAGCAATGTCCATGTTTTATACCAGCAGCTGCAGAGTTACACAGAGATTCGGAGGAGTGGCTGTTGTAAACAATGGAGGTGTTCTGTTCACTCAATTCATTATAACTTTTTAAAGGCACTTGGTTTTCCAAGCACATGACTGCATTAACACTAATTATAATGAAACCAAGGCATTCAAGAGAACCTACTGTCTTCCAGGGTGTCTTTGTTGCAGCCCAGGAGCACAAATCTCCTGAAGTCAACTGACAGTAGTATTTAAAAGATGTCAGTTGCAAATAGAAATCAAGCAATTCCAGGAGCTATTCCTCCAGAACAAAGCAGCAGATTTGCATGCTCACTCATCTCTGTGGAGATGGGGCTTGAATTAGCTCAGATTTGCATTAGATGCATATATACATGCTCCTTGTATAGGTTAGAGAACACAAATAGCAAAGCTGTAGCCTGGGGAATGGTTGGGCTCTGCGACAGTGCATGATTTATTCCTGTCTCTTGTTTGCTTGCTTACTGTGTGCACAAAGGCAAAATGAATTGGATAAAGGAGATGATTAACTAGTAAAACAAATAGATAACCAAAAAAAGCCCAAATACAAATAACCCTTTTAATGGGCCACTTGATGCAGATGTTTGCATCCAAGCTCAAGGAAACTCAATTTTTAATTAAAATACTTTGTAAGAAAAATAGACATCTGATCTTTTCATTTCTCAGCCCAAAGCACTCCTGGCAAAGTGAACCAGAATGACCTGGATTGCTGAGTGAAGTGGTGTCAACTCACACACAGAAGATATGTAAGGAAAAGAAAATGAATGGTATCAAATAAGTATCAGAGTAAAATTTGTGTGAGACATCCTTTATATTTACAGCAGTGTTTATGTAGCCAGTGGCATCCATAAATTACAGCAGTAATTAAACTCTACCGTGGCTGGCTTGGAGGCTTATAAATCATTATTTAAACAGCAGCATTAAACAAATGGCATTTCAGGCTCTAAATTGAAAGGAGAAACAAACAACTCCTTGGGGAACACGTGCTGACTTTGTACCTCACAGGCCCTGCTTCTGAACATAGTCTAGACCTGGCAGTGTTCAAATCCAGTATCAGACTCTGGACACAAATGACAGTCTGGGATCTTTACTGCCCATGCTTTTGGACTTAGTTTCAATATATCAGGATGGAAAGAGGAAAATCATGTGGCTTAGCCTAATGTAGGATCAGCAACTTACTGCTCAGACTGTGGGATGTATTTCAGTCCTCAGCAGATTTTCTCTGAGTTGGGCTGCCTCTTCTCTCTTTCCCTGTCTCTTGATTAGCAGAGTAAATGCAGTGTGCCGGTGAGTCTGTCTGTGAGGAACACAGCCAGAAAGATTGTGATGTTTGATCACAGCAAAATGGAAAACTTTAACTTACTGCCACCACACTTGGCCAGGCCGGATGGAAGACTGAATTTCTTGCAGGCATCCACAAAAATATCTCTTATCTTGCAAACTGGCTACGCTGCTAATTATCATGCAGGATTAATCAAGATGAACATAATTATACATTCACATGCTACATTCAACTTCTTAGGCCATAATTTTTAATTCTACCAAAAGATTTTTGGATGAACATAGTCAGGTGAAGCACTCTCGCTCAGCACACATTAAAACAAGAGAGTTTAGTAAGACAGTACTTGGTTGCTGTTCAAAAACCGTGTCTGTTGCAGTCTGCAAAAATTCCAAAGACCTGGGATGAATGTACAGTCTTGTGCACGTTTTACCAACAAGTAGCTTCTCTCTAGTCTATCCTTGAGGAGCCCAGCTGGATACAGTTGAGTTGACTCCAGTGGTTCTCAAGGCAAAACCCTGTATGTCCACAAGGTGCAAAATTTCCATTTTTAATTGCATGTATGTAGTAAGAAATACCTACCATGGAAGTCCACCATATTTATCTAACCATATGTGCTACCTCTCAAAAAAGGAGAAACTTTCCTACTATTTAATTACACCTCTTGAAAAATGTTTTTTAATATGCTAGTGCCATTAAAAAAGGCCAGTCTAATGTGCCTCCACTAAATGCCCTGATAAATCTGGGATTGTGCAACCTCCCTGACAATGTCTATCTGTCACAAGTATTTGTCATTAGCTTCTCAATTTCACCTGCTCCTCCTTTGGTTTGGCTTCAAGGGCTTTGACTTGACAGAGATATTTTAAAAAAGAGCACTTGGGGGATTTAAAGGTTTTGTGAAAGAAAAAGGGAAAAAAAAAGCTGCTGTCTATTAGAAAAGGTTAGTGAAAATTCTGGGGAGTTTCTGATTGTTGATTTTTCTATGACTTGCCATTTGTGATGGGTACATCATTTCCTTACTATTCATCTTCAATTCTCCAGCCTTACAGCAGCACAGACATTTGAAGGCTGGTGGCTCACTTGGTGCTGGGGATAGCCACATTTCAGGACAAAGTAAATTTTCTATTGATCCATGTCATTAATACCCCTGCTTTCACCATTAGAGAAGTTGGAAGGTATGAAATAAAGGAGGTAAGAAAGCGAGAGAAGCGAAAGACAAGTTCATGTTTGAGAGAACTGAAGCCATCTATGGCAAATGGCCATTGAACTCCAATGTGATATAGGGCAGATCACATAAATCAGAACTTTCCCAGCCAGCTACACTGCTCTCATTTTCCAGACACACACCTCAGGACACCTGTATTCATATCAGCAAGGAAGACAAGCAGTTGCAGCTGCAAATGAGACCAGTGAGAGAGATACTTGGAAAACACCTTGTCCTTAAAAAACGCTTTGATAAAAAAATTGGATTTCAGGTTTCTCACACCAGGCAGCAAAAGTTGGTCAA